CGCCCCCCCCCCCCTGCCTGTCCCAACTCGCATGCGTGCCCACACCTCCAACTTGTGGCCGGGCAGACCCATCAGGCGGATGCTGTCCCTCCTGAAGAACAACTGGAGGCCAGATAGAATAGACGATGCAAGGAGGAACGCCAACCTTGGCATCAGGAGCGGCGATTTCGGGGCGCGCCTGACGCACAACCACCAGACACAGTTCTACTTCGTCATGCAGAGCCTCATGCTGTGGCTGGAGGTGTGTCTGTTTGTCATTTTTTTTTTTTTGCTTCCGGTGTGACTGCCTTTGTCGCTTTGTCTCGCTCTGTTTGCTGCTGTTGCGTTAGAGTCGGTTCGATGTTTTGTTTTTCAAACTACAATGGGTTGGGGGAGTAGGGTACGGAGCCGTCATGCGGCGGCCGGAGAAGGTCAGCTTGGTATTTTGGCAACCTGTTTGTCATCGTGCGCGTTGGACGTGTGGACCAAGCTGCTGAAGCGCTTGCGTGATATTGTGTGGCGTTTCGGCAAGTCGTGTGGACCAAGCTGCTGAAGTGCTTGCGTGATATAGTGTGGCGTTTCGGCAAGTCTTCGAATATGTGGTTTTGACGGCACGGGTTTACCATATATGCTGCTGGGCCTGTTCGTTGGTTTGTTCGTTGGTTCGTGTTTTGGTGGTTGCAATGGTCCCTCTGCTATCTGCCGTGGTTGAGGAATTCCTCTACCGTCCATTGGGGCAGGTGACCGACAACATGCTGGATCTGTGGGCGGCCGGAGAGAAGGATATGCTGGAAGAGGACAACCAGTACAGGCTCAGCAATACGGGGCAGGGGCTTCAGAGAGTCCAGGCAAGCCTTGTTGTTGCTGTCCTCATTTGTGAAGTTGCTGTTGTCTTTCGAGAAGTTGCTGCTGCTTGCCGTCGTCACCACCGTTGGTGTGGTCATCGCCAGAGTTATTTCGGTGCTGACCAAGAAGTGCTTACTTTTGCAGCTCATCGCTTTTTTTGTACTCTTCTTTACGCTTCTCCAACGAAGGGGAAAGTTTCGTTTCTTGATATTGCCTGAACATATTCTGTTCTGTTTATGTTCTCTCCGGGAAAAGCAGGGAGCGCGGCGAGTGGGAAAGCGCATGAACGAGTATCAGGTCCGGGTAGCCAACACCTGCGGGAAACCTTGGGTGAGACACCCGGGGGAGAGACGCACAGACACTGCGAATGGAAGAAAGTTTATCTCGGCCGTGTCGCTGACTGCTGTTAAGAATCCACGGGCCGCAATGAAAAGGGTGATTTTCGGGTAGAGTTCGGGTTGCGGGTGATGGTGGCGGTTGTTTGCGACAGGCTATCGCACGGTAGTTCCATACTGTTAGTTGTTGCTTGACGTATTCTGAGTGTTCAGCTGGTGCGCAATACATGTTTGTTTTTTCGGACACGAGCGGTCATTCCTCTGTCGCGCATGCCACGAGTTGTTCACTGGGCGTGGTGTTGGGGCTTATTTTTTTTTGAGGTGGATTATCCAGAATTCTCTTCGAATCACATGCACAACGGAGTAGGGCAGAGCCGACCAGCCGCGGCCGCCACCGCGTTCCGCATGACATGTTCGGCCCTTGTCATCGATAAGGTGGCCGCTCGCGTTGGGGTGAAGCCGCAACTGGCCACAGGAAGACGCTTCTTGTGGAACATCTTCAAGAGCCCCTTGCGTTGTGCGTACCAACAGCAGACATGGAGACTGGTAGACAATGCCAAACACTGTTTTCGACCCCGCTCCATGTGCTGTAGGTGGGCTCCGCCGTGGTGCACCTGGGGGACAGCTGCGTCCCCAACGCGCTGACGTTCCTCGACAAGTATTCCCAAGTGCCATGGATTCTCAACCCGATCCTTCAGGTATGCGGGTGATCCATATTCGTGATTCGTGTGTGTGCGAGGTTTGATTGTGATACTTGTCCATCAATGTTGGTGTTTGCATGGACGTGGTCTGGTTTGCTGCTGTGTGCAGCTCCGTGTGTGACCGTTGCTTGTGGAAAGATACAGGGTGAGTGAACTTCATGTATGCATACGACCGTTGCGTGTCAACATCAGATGTGGGTGTCGCATGTGGTAGTCGTTTTGACTGTTTGTGGACATTCCAACTACGGGGAGGCAGGATGTGCTGGTGGTTTTGAATTGTTTGAAGCTGTGTGCGGCCTGCCCAACGACAAGGACGCCCTACGGTGTTATTTGAGATTTGTGCGAAACTGGATGTTCAAGCGGCTGGGTGACCTTGGCGAACTGCCTCCTGTGCGTCTTTGCTGTTGCGTGCGAGCCGCTTGGTGTGTGGTGGACTGGTGCTCGTACAACGCGTCCTCCTTTCGTTGTTCGGCTGTGCTTGATTTGCAGGCTTTGGACTACCTGACAGACCTCGGCGAGGGATCAGATCCCGTGGTGCTGGAGTACGTCAAGGGCCGGTGGGGGACAGTCGAGTACGCCCAGCGCTACATTCTAAGAAATTTCTTCCGCTTCGGGTGGGTTTATTGTTATTGTTGTTGTCGTTGTCGTTGTCGATGTCGATGACGTTGTCGTTGTTGCTGTTGCTGTTGCTGTTGCTGTTGCTGTTGTGAGCCCCCCCCCCAAGATCCATTCAAGGCATTCTCGAAACCTTTGGATTGTTGTGGCCGCGAACCGGATTCGCACGCTCTGCGAAGCGTTTGTGTATGGGAACGCAGGGTTGGACGTGCTGCTGACAAGGGGAAGAGGAATGCTGCCCGTTTCACATCGTAACTGAACCCTATCGGAATTCTACTGTGGCACTGCAGACCGGACCCCCCACAGCAAAGCGCTTTGGGTCGGTGTTATCCCCCCGCGAGTGATGGACTGGATGTGATGGCATCGGGTCATGCCTTCTCTCTCTTGTTTCTCTCGACAGGTTCGATGGATCCGGCGGGGATAACAACTACGATGCGGGCAGCTGCGTGGACGGCCGGTTGACCAGCGCCTGGAACTGGTGCAGCAAGGTATGTTCCGCGCCAAAGCAGCGCTGAGCGCGTGTGTGGTGCCGTCATCATCATTGCTACGCTTTTATTCTTTTGTTGCTAGCCATCTGGCGGGTGTTACGACCCATGTGCCGTCTCGTTTCTCGCGTTACTTCCGCTTGTTGCTGCTGGGGGTGTTCGTTTCTTTCCCTCCGGCAGGTTGTCCTCGGCAGATCAAGAAGGAACTCGTTGTGAATAATAACAAGCTCGTTGCCTTGGTTCTTTCGGGCCCGTTCCGTTTCTTTCCCTCCCGCGTGTTTTGTGATGATGGAGCAGATTGAGAAGAAGTCCTTCGTCAACGTCTTCAAGCTCAGCGGCTTCTCTGGCTTCGACGGAGACTTCAGCCGCTGATACTTGCAGCCTTGTGTGAACAAATCGCCTCGTGATTTTTCTGCGGCGCGTATGCAGTGTCCACATATGGCATCTCGGTCCTCGTTGCGATATCTGAAGGTGAAGATGCTCCGATGCCCGGGTGGGCGGGTGTTGATTCTTCTCCACGTAGTACGTTGTTGCAGGTGGCTTTACTCGCGTCGGCTGAGGTCCCCTCCGGCTGGTGCAGGCCAAAGTTCCCTTCAGAAATGTTCATGGAAAGCAAGACTCGAGCAACGTCGTGTAGGAATTTCCAGACGTTCGTTATTCTAAGGCCGTATTTCGTCACTACCTGCAATGTTGCGAAAAGCACACGGGCCGGCTGGAACTGGGCGGTTCACTGAGTTTTTTGGGACGTCGGGCATGTTGCAGTACCGTCGTTAATGTTGTCAGAGTTTGCAAAGCTTTGACGGCGGAACGTTGGCTGCGCGATGGTTTGCGTGGCATGTCTTCTACGCAGGGAGACGGCCGTACGAAGCACACCCATGCCTCCCCCATTGCCGAGCGCCTCCCAGACAGATCCACGAAGGGTCGGTGGGAGTTGTGTGTTCTCTTTCAATGCGCCATGCGCTGTTCGTCTCTTTTTGCAATCTTTCCCCAGGAGACAAGTGTTCAGAGAACTGTGCATGGGTGGGACAGTGTAACCATCAGGCCACACGGAGAGCCTTCGGCATTTCCTGAACGTAACTTTGGCAGGTTTTCATTGTGAAGAGCGGCCTTCACCGGAGGGTATTCCGCATGCTGGACTATTCACTCTTTTCGCCGTTTGCGGATGCATGGCACTGTTTCGATGGGTCCTCTGGTTGGTTTGCCTTTCCCCAACTTTTGTGTATCCTGCAGGAGGAATGCTTGCATCCTACGCCGCCATTAGAGCAGCGAGGGGCAAGGATGTATTGCACCTCAACTCTGCCCGCCAAATATAGAGCCACCGGTCTCTATTACAAGCATAAATGTTGCTCTCCCGATTTGCATCCTGCGTTTGCCACATTCGTTTGGGCGCGTGCACGTGTGGTGTGTTTTTATGGAGTCTTGCCGGAAAAAAAATGTGAAGTCAGAGGGCCCGCGCACTTCACGGAGTTGTCAGTTATTGACAACGTTTGATGCGCTCGTTGTCGCCCGCATGTAGCAACGTAGCGAGCACCAGGTTCCAAAAAGCAGCGGTTTTAACATTGCATTATCTGCTTGTTTTTTATGTGTGTTCGGTGTCGCGTGGTTGGCTGGAGTCGGTCATTCAGTTCATCTTGTGCTGTTGATTGGTGGGTAAGTGTTTTTGTTGCTTTCTGGGCCTGGACCGGCGGCAGTCCATGCGGAAAACCTGCAGGTTTATCGTGGGAGCAGACGATGTGTTTCAAGCAATTTCCATCGACTGTCCTCAAAACGTTTCGTGATAGTGCCAGCCGCGGAACGTCGACTTGAACCACATAGGTTGGATCGGTGACTGGAACGTGGTTTCCAGGAGACGACCTTCGGCGTAACATACCGCCAAGGTCGAGCTCGCCTTTGGATTTGTTGGGTTTTCACACTGCTATGAACGGGCGACTTGTGAGTGCTGCTCACGCCGTTTACCAAACCGGAATTATTATGACGGGTTCTCCTTCTCCCTGACGACGACACGTAACAACAGGGTGTCCACGGACTGATGCATGCAGTGTCCGTCCAGGTGTATCGTTCTCTGCAGGCTGACACCTGGAACGCCACCTGCGCACAAAGATAATGTCGGAGCTCGGGCGTAGTCTATTTACGTTTTGCAGTGCCGGGCGTGCCGACCGGGGCTAGCCTGCCATCCCCACACAGGGGAAGATGTGTAGTCTACTACCATTGAGGGGGTATTTTCCTCCGCGTGTTCCAATAATCTTGATGGTTGGCCCTGTTGCGTAGTGCATTTTCGGAGCAAATGGCACTGGCAGTCAAGCCCCATCATGGTGTTTCCCTTTCGCACGGATGAGGACCATTTTCGGAGGGTATATAGAAGGATTCCGCGGTTTAGCCAATATGTCTATCAGTCGTAGACAAAGAGGCACACCGGAAATGTGGTCGATACTCTTTTATGTCGTGTGGTTGTGGCTTGGGTCTTTACTCCTGGACTATTTGGTTGTTTTTGGCGACGTGTGTTATCCCGTCTGAAGAAAATTCAAATGGTGGTATTAGCGGGGTTACGACTTGTGCGCCACAACATCGTAAACATCACAAAGAACACTAGTGCTATGGAACGCGAGCCAATACATTTCGCATTGGAACAGTCTTGCAAGTGATCGGCATTGTTCCAGACTTGAAAGTGATATTTTGCCGTTTTCACTCAATATTGTTGTGACAAGATGGACCTAATCCAAGAAGAGCGTTGCCAGGAAAATTAGAGAACCTGCCACGGAATCGGTCGCTTGTCCCGATCCTGTCTGCCACGTCGCCTCCGTTACCCTCTCTACCGTCCGCCCCTCCCGGCCTTCAGATAGAATATGGGGTCCGGGGTCAGAGTTGATACTTGCACACTCGACCTGAGGTAGCAAGACCGGTGTGGACTGGGCAGGTTGATTGTGATGTCCATGTTCTCATCTGAGGAAGTCCAGCCCGGCGCGTGGTAGTATCACTTGTGATTCATTCGGAGCCCTTGCACTGGTGTGTTCGGGCCCCCAATCTTGCCTATTTAAGGCGGGGCCTGCCGATCTCTGAACCGCTCGCTATGAATGCATCGGGCCTCGTGACCTTCACAAATGTCGCCGCCCCCCTCTCAGTCTTAGTCACCACGTTCCACACCATCGTATGCCTATCACTTTCTGTTCTCGGGGAAGCCGATTCCACTCATGGGACAGCTGTGCGATGGATTGGTTCCCTAGCCAGCGATGCCAGTATCCTTCGCATACATGTTGGAACAACAAGATGTTGACTAGTCTACTATACACGTTTTGCCACACGATGCACGTGCCAACGCAGCTCAGCAGCTTGTCGACCTGAAAAGATTCCACGTCTGACAGGAACAGCAGAACAAAATCGACCGCGTCAAGCGTCCGATCGGTTGTCCTGCTGTCGTTCGTTGGGCTTGGTTGTTTGCCCATAGCAGCTACGTATTACGGAAGAATATAGTTAACAAGACCAAAATGATCTAATCAACGTACTCGTCCGAAAATAGACCTCTCGTGTGAATGAGAAGCCTGGCCTTACAATCTGCGTCAATCTACCGGCCATGTCCCAGAGGGACTACTTTCTGTCCTCTTACTGACCTCTCAGGAGATGAGTTGGCCACAACTTGCGAACCAACCCACAGTATCCCGCGAGACAAAAGTTGAGGGTGGCACTCGCATCCCTATCACACCTAAATGCCACCCCGTTTTCGAAAAGAGGACAGGGATTTTCAACGCCCACGCAAACAGTTGTACACTGTCGCACACGCTGACCACCCTGAACGTCAGTCATCTCCCCGCCACACCCCCCGGGGCACATCTTGGAAGTCCTGAACTCGTCCAACATCCCCACATTCACCCTCGAACAGATAGCCCTCACGAGCTTCTTTCGAGGCGCGGAGGCGTGCCCTTTCATCGCCCTGAAGCTCCCGTTCCCGAACAGAACGATGTTCTTGCGGTCGGAAGGGCACGCAGCTATGTTCGAAGCCAGCTTGTCAACAGTCTTCTGTACAAGCCTCGATGAGTGAAACCTCGACCTCTTCCTCGCCCTCTTCATCTTTTCCGCGAACATAACCTTGAACGTTTCAGCCGCCACACGACAGTACGCGAGAAAAGACGACTTTCTGGCTGTCTTCTTCTTGACCGCGGAAAATCTGGGGAAACACCGCCCGTACTCGTCGTTCGACCTCCTCTTCTTCTCTCGCCCTTCCAGCATGGTCCTACCAGACTTCACGGAGTACTCGGTTCCCTTCATTTCCCAGTCCGTGCTTTTCTCGCGAACGCTCCCGACACACCTGCAGAATTCCAGGGGACACGACCTCACAGAAACCACTGAAGCGCACCCTGGATCGACGACGGTCAGGTTGTATGCATGAACTCGGTCAGCGACTATCTTCCGACTGTCCTTTCTCGCCTGGGAGAGCACGAACAAGCCCCGCTCTTGCGTTTCCAGGGAGACCACCTTCTTGGCAATCTGATACCCAGACTTGGCCAGATCTGTTGTACCAGGAACGTGAGGCTTTTTGGATACCAGGGCCATAAAGGTCACCTGAACCTGGTAGCCGTCTGACCGAAATCCCGACGGCTTGTACCCTTTCCTATTAACCCTCCTAAGGTCGAAGTGCTCGGAAATAAACCTTGAGACGGACGAGAAGTCGTGACCCTCCTTGTGAAAAATGCTCCCGACCACGGAAGAAGAGTAGTATGGAAAGCACGGGGCTAGCTTCCAGACAGGGAGGACCGTGCACATCTTCGGTCGATCCACGAGTCCTCGCTTGATCCTCTCTGATATGTAGAAGGCCTTCCTCACTTTTTCCTCATCGGATCTCGTCTTTGTTTCCTCTCGGAGGGCCCTATTGTTATCGGACGCCTCCTCGGCAACGCGTGAGATCATGCTGATCAGTTCGAGGAACAGATGGGGCTTTTTCTTCAAGATCTTGAGCACTGGTACGTCCGGTTCGGTTGAGTAAACTTGTGCGAGAAGGTCCCTCACTTGTAGCACGTGGGGTACGTACCCAGGATCGAGGTCTTCTCTCATCTCTCGTTCAAGACAGTCGTTTGACAGAGAGACGATAATTCTCGATCGATCCTTCGCGGGGAGGTGTTGGAATGCCAACTGGGAATCGTTCATGAGCCTGAACCTCAGGAACCCCTTGATCTTGGCCTCCAGGTGCACGACAATAGAGTTCTTGGCAGATACCTCCATTTCTCTCGTGACTGTTTCTTGGAGTCGACAGGGGACCTTGGGAGGGAAGAGAGATGTGTCGAAACCGGATTGGTCGATGAACTCGTCGAGTAGGTCGGAGAAGTCGTTTCTCGTGTTCTTTCCGGATATGCGGATGTTGATGGCGGCCCAACACCTATCGTAGAAGACCTTCTTGACCTCAGGAGGTTGCAGGCCCTGTTCGAGTCTCCTGATGACGACGTAGTTTGAGAATAGACCAACGATGTACCTGAAGGACCCGGTGTACCTGGACATTCTCTCGAGGCGGTCTCGAATGTACTTTGGCATCACAGATTTCACCAGAGTCCTCTCGAGATCCAGACATATACACGACTGTCTCGTTGAGCCTGACTCTTCATCGCCTTCTGCGCGTAGCGATTGTTCCACACCGCTCTTCCGAGTGCATCTTTTCTTCGCGCGTGGGTCTGGATTCTCGGTGTCGACTTCCATGTTGCCCGCGGTTTAGTGGAGGCCTGTTCACAGGGTGCAACTCTTGCGAATATGTTATCCTTCGTCGCTACGTAGTGTAGGAGCTTACGGGGTTTGCAATAGGTTCCCCAAGGATGCATGTGAAGATCACCAACGATGAGATTGAAAGTGAATGCGGCAGGAACTCTTTGGAAACCCCTCGCCGAATGCCGACACAGCAGAGGTCCTGCGTCTGTGAGCCAAGGGACTCGAACGTGGACAGCACGGAACCTGCAGTGACAGAGGTAAGCTTCCGCATCGTCGGTAACATTGTCCTTGGTATTGTTCCGACGGCTGTATTGGCTCGGTAACATCCTTCATTGATTCATGGTACACAGCAGCTGCTGCGGTTGTGCCATATTCGTACGCTTGGACCCCAGTGCCGAGACGAAAGTGCTCAGCGTACTGCGTAATCGTGGGCAACGGCACAGGAATAACCTTTATCGCCGACTCACTACACGTTTCTGCCGGGTTTCACTCCAGTTGGAAGTCCTTGAGGTGTGTACACAATACAGGCCAGACTATGGGATAGCGACCCGGTGGATAGCAGCAGATGGACTTCACTCCGTTTGCCTTCTGACTGGTGTCAAGATGAGAAATTCCACGGTTGTTGGCCTCAGTCCTCCAAAGTGTCAGCGGTGCGGGGAACTAGAGAGCCTCTCACGCCACTCTGGCAGCAGGTGTTTCATTTCGCGGAATTTCCGCCTTCCACCCAATTTTGTAGGCGACTCTTGACCTGCGCGCGTAACGGAGAGACCCTACGCGGTGTACAACCATGGCCTCCACCCTTGGCGTCCTTGACGTCCTCAGCAAACTCCGTGAGGAATCAGAGAGAGCTTCCACCGCCTTGACGGCTCAGCAGGTGATACATTGACTATTTTCCGATGTGAGGAAAACACTTCGACTACATCATTGAGGTTCGAAAGAGTTGTTCAAGAGAGAGAGAGAGAAGATGGACCCTCAAGTCTGATTGACCCTGAGCCGATCATCGTCTTCCCTTTCCAATGAACAACGTATCGCATGCTTCCCAGGAAACCAACCGAACGCTTCTCAAGAAATGTATCGAGGCCGAGACGGAAAGCGGCCGCACAGACGAGGCCAAAGGAGCGCTCCAACATCGAAAGGTGAGAAATATCTCTAGCAAAAATCCACCAATCGATTCACGCCCGCCCTAGAGGAGGTTTGAGCGGTATTCCACGACTCAATCCGGCTGAATTTCACACACGCACGCAAAGAATACAGAAAGGCCCCCTAGGTGAGGATATCTTGGCACAGTTTCATTTCACAACAGTACCGTAGTGAAAGTCTGCTGCTGCGAGCCACAACCAAGACATCTTGGGCCCAATCACTCAAAGAATTCATTCTTCTGCTGTGACTTGCTGGAGAGTGAGTAGGCCGCAGGACGCCTGTTGTCCGTTTCCAAGGGCATGCGTGGGGATGGGTTGAGGTACCGTAAATGACACAACATAGCACACACCCTGGATCAATTTTAATGCTCGATCACTCCAAAACGAAACGGTACGTTTCCGGAGAGTTCTCGACCAGGCGGCTTCAACGCCGGTACTTTCGGCGCTGCTACTCTTTGTGTTATCGACAAAATCGAACTTTGAACATTTATTTGTCCATGGGGTGTGTTATCTTGTGTTGTACACGGAAATCGGTTGGATAGTTTGGGCCACGTATCAATGCCATCTATCTCCGATGGGCTTGTTATATCCAGAAGCCATTGTCGGCCACGCAAGCTACCCGGACGTACAAGTTCGATATATTGTTTGCGTCAGAAGGCGGGCGACTCATTGCATCACTGGACACGAACATCCACGATGCGCAGCAATATTCATTCTGCTCATTGAAGCGGTCGACCAAGGCCTCGATCACTTTCTCTTTCTTGCTG